ATCAGATCCTCTGGAACTGGAGTTTCCAGCAGGCTGTGAACCATCTGACATGCTTGCTATGAACTGAACTCAGACCCTTTAGAAGAACAGCAAGTGCCCTTAAGTACCGAGCCATTTCTCCAGCCCCAAATTTATGACTATTTACAATCATTATTTAATGCATTAATTTAATATTGTATTCTTCATTTACCTACCCATGACTATCAAATTCAGTTCAGTGTAATATTCATTATCACTTAAATATTTGTGGACTTTCACAAGTATCTCAGATGGAAAGTTAAAGCTCCCCAGTTGTGCTAGGTACGGTGGCTCATGCCTATAATGCGAGCACTCAGGAGTCCATCCTGGGCTAACATTCTAGGTCAGCTTGAGCTGCTTACTAGAATACTGTGTCAAAAACAACTAGTTGTGATTATCATTGCTCCAAGACTCTAGGTTTTGCTATGGTTTCTGTTGATTGGTTGGTTAGTAGGTTGGTTGATTAGTTGTTGCTTTTTTGGGTTTTTTTTGGGGGGGGGGGGGTTGTTTTGTTTTGTTGTTTTTTTTTTTTTTTGAGACAAGGTCACTTCTAGCTAACCTAACTAGATCAAGATGGCCTCAAATTCAGAGATCTGGCTGTCTCTGCCTTCTTAGTGCTGGAATTCAAGGTGTGCACCACCATGCCTGGCAAAATCCCTATTTTTAAAGAGGGGGGAACAGACTATAATTTTGTGAAAACATTGTAGAGTATAAACAAAACACATCTGTGGGCTACAATCACTAAAAGAAAACATTCATATATCTGAACATGGGTCAATATGAATAATATATATTCACTCTCCTTTCTTTGCTTCACATGAGAATCTATATGGAATAGGGACATCTGTAGAAAATTTAAATTGACAAACCATGCAGATTAAGAGTATGTTGTCCAAAAAAGATTAATTTGTCCATGTTTATGTGGATATGTGTGTGTGTATGTATGTATGTATGAAGGTAGCCAAAGTATTTTATTCTCTATACAAAAAAAAAGTTTATATCTAAGAATTTCCAGATAATACATGTTAAATGAGCAATTTAATAAAAAATCAAACAGCATATCATAACAGATATGCAGAGCACAGCAATCACAGAACATGACCACTGAGCTGTGATGTTTAAGTTTAGTAATACAGCATTTCTAAATGCTTTAAGAATATCTAATCTCTATGGTTATATAAACATGAAAAGGCACAATTTCTATTTTCTCCAAAATTAAGCTCTACATTCTAAATCCATGAATCATTTTCAAGAACTTGTCAGAACAGCAAAGAGAAGTAGTCATAACATAGGTCAGTCTTTTTGTTTCTTCTTTTAAAAAAATAAAAACCAAAGAAAGACTGCTTGAGAAGACTCAGCACTACTTTTGAGTATCTTGCAGACATTTTTTCTCTATCCTTTGATATTCCAACAAGCAGCTACCTAAAGGCACATACCTGTAACTAGAACAAGCTGCCCACTGTCACGGAACTTGGACTCGTGTGCCCAACCACTCACTGCTCACAGCCCCAAACCTGCCTTCTGCAGCAGCTCTTCCTGGTTGTTAAAGAGAACAGACCCAAAACGTATTCTCTATTATCTTCCCCTCCTAAAGAACAGATGGTCTTGTCCTCGACTCATATACCAGTCCCAGGACTGCCCAGGTACATGGTCTTCACCAAGACAAAAACCTGATATGCCACTTAACTATTAAGTTATATGCCCTGAAAGTAAAGTTATTTAATATTCTTTTGTGTGATACTTTCAGGGAGGCAATTCACTCATCCTTTGGGATGGCTAGCTATTTCTTCTTCTTAAAAAAAAAAAGTCATGCGGGCATTTTGCCTCCATGTATGTCTATGTACCGTGTGCATGCCTATTGTCTCCAAAGGCTAGAAGAAGGCATAAGATTCCTCAGGACTAGCCAGGCGATGGTGGCGCACGCCTTTAATCCCAGCACTTGGGAGGCAGAGGCAGGCTGATCTCTGTGAGTTCGAGACCAGCCTGGTCTACAGAGCTAGTTCCAGGACAGGCTCCAAAGCCACAGAGAAACCCTGTCTCAAAAAAAAACAAAAAAAAAAAAAAAGATTCCTCAGGACTGAAAGTACAAATGGTTGCGAGGCGCTCTGTAGGTGCTGGAAAGCAAAGCCAGGCGTACTAAGGAAGAGCAGCAGGTGCTCGTCACCACTGAGCCATCGCTCTAGCTCTCTAGGTATTTCGTTAGAAATGTTCAAACTGTGCTGTTTCTATTCCTACAGCATTTCTCTCTTAACCTTTCAGCCAAAGAAAGACAATATTATTAAGGACCTTTGACGGAAAGGGATTACCTACATGACCGACTTGTTACACACACTGCTCGATTCAGCTTTCCTACTATGGTATCACAGTAGGTATTATCCCTTCTTACAGCGTGAGAAATGAAGCGCAGTGGGGAAACAGCGGTACTAGGCCTTTCTGGGTCATAAATAGCTTTTTATCTACACTTAACCTTTCATATACATGCAGATGTACTCTTTGCAATTTAGAAATGAATTCATTTGACTCTACAAAATGGGACCAGTTAACAATTTTTGAAGTTATGGAAAACAATTGAGCATCCTGTAGCCCATGAAATGAGAAATGTGGATGCCAGGAAGAGTTGACCTGCATGACCTGTCACTGAGGAGGGAGAAAGGGAAGCTGAAAGGACCAAATGAGAGTGAGCTGTGGGCTTTTTTCAATAGCAGGGAGGCTCATTAGCAGGATCAAAGGGAATAGATTCACCCTGTTCTGACTTCATAGCTAGCAGGAGTTGGGGGGGGGGGGGGGAACAGGAGGCACAGAGAGAAGGCTTGGAGCAAAGGTAAGAGAAAGCTAATATCATGACAGTATATGATGGCATGGGAAAACCTCATGACCCGGAGCTATAGGGAGGAGTTTCCTATGGCAAGAGCTGCTTTAATTATCTCCCCTATCCTAACCCTATCCGCACTCTCAATTGTACAGATCGTATGAGTGCCCTCGAGTGTTGCCCGGCAACTTGCCAAGAGCCCTGGGGAAGAGGATAGTCCTAAGCAATACCAATTCCTTGTGGTTTTTCCCTTTTATCACATGTATCTCTTCTAATCCCCTCCTTACTGCTCAGTGAATCTTTCAATTTCCACCAGGTAATCAGTTTAATCCTCTCTTGAGACTTTGCATTCTACCAGGCCTTCTTGTTAGGCCTACCACAGCCTCCAGAATCAGTCCAAATCCAAAAGTCCTTCCCAATTAAGCCATTTTGTCACTAACTAAGGGCCCAAATCCTTCACTCTAGTCAAACAAAACAAATTTTCCTACCACTCGAGCTCTAGGCTTCAGAATCAATCCAATCAATTGCATTTTTAGATACCTGCTCCTAGTGGGCCACTTAAAGTAATTCATTTGAGGGAAATAAAAATCATGGGAAAAATTCAGAGAAAGGTAAGAGAAACACATGTCGTGACTTAAGGTGCAAACAAATGACATCTGCCATGGCAGGCCTTCCCCATGTCTACCCTGAAGTTCTTTTGAAACAAATATTTACAGATATACTTTTCCTCTCTCCTGGACTGAGAGTGTCTTTAGTCAAGAGCTATTATATATTTACCATTGAGACTGGAGTCACAGGGAGCACAGTGAAGATACATCTATTCAGTTACTACCTGGGTGCTGTATCTGTGTGTGTATTAAAGTGTGTGTACATAAAAGTTTAGTGTTGAGAAAATATGTATGCACAGAAAGGAATTAGGAACGTTCCAAAAGGTGAAGTCAAGGCACCTTTGCTACTAAAACCGTGAATGTCAGTTCCATACAATATTGCAAATACACACACACATTTTACATGTATTATAAATTGGTTGTTAAAGTTTGACACAAGTATGTATTCTCATAATGTAAAATCAGGTGTAGGACTGAATACATAACTTTATCAAAATAAACGTAATTGTTAAAGAACATTCTAAGCTAAAATGCTTATTAGAAAAATCTTTCTCTCAACTATTAGCATTTGCTGTCACTCAGCAACAATGCAATTCTTTTCTTTCCTTGTCCTCAATTGGATTTTAATTTATTTTTTATAGGTAATATTTAGCTGTTCACTTTTGTGTATGTTACCTCAATACTTGAACAGGCAAGTTTCTATCTTAAGTCAACAATAAGAATAACAATCTGTTGGGTGTTTTTTTTTAAGGTGACACTTAATGACCTGTGGATGAGTGATTTGATAATAAATTAGCCTGAGTTATTTCAACATTCCTCTAAAACAAATCTGAAGATTATGGAAGAAATTTTCTGAGTAATTTAGAATATGAATATATGAATGAATGAATGAATGAATGAATGAGTAGATAGGAAAGTTTATGGAAAGTAAGCAAAGGAGGAACTTGAAAATTGTAGCGTATGCTGGAAAACAAGCCACTTTCCTGTCCCTTCTAACAGTTGGTAATGGGTAGAATTTTGCCCCTTGAAAGTGCACATTTATAAAAGACCTGAAGCTACAAAAATTTCCTATCATTACAGATGCTTAAATGCTTCCACTTTTAAAGTCACAGCTAAGCGGCTGCCTTTTTAAGTCGTGGTGAAATTGCCTCCAGACCCATCCAGGATATCACACTCTATTTACCAGTGTCCAAAAACAAAAAAAAAAAAAAAAAACACCATAAACCCTTTTGTTAGGTATTCTTTTAACTGGTTATTTAAAGCTAAGCAGGCAAACCATTCTAAATTGCTAATCCACTCTTAAACAAATAACATGACCAGCAATGCTCTCTGATAAACTTGATGACACTGAGATTTTGAAGCGATATTCTACCTCTTTTCCTTAAATTACCCTAGGCCGGTCTCACAGTAATCACATCAATGCAATTCACGAAAATACAAGAGTCCATTCTCCCCATCTGTCCTTAAAAGCCCCACTCAGCAGTTTGTGCTGTAGCACCATGCTGCAGCATCCCTGCACTTGAACTTGGGAATAGGCTTTCCAGGACTGCAGGCAGAGCCCTTACCGCATTCCTTCTGAACCTCATCTTGCCTCTCGGGGGATTTGCTTCTGCCATCTCGCCTATACACAATTACACTCTTCTTTTCCGATTGTCAATGCAACATTGATGAAATACGAGCTGCTTCTTGGGTGGTATTTAAAAGCAGCAGCCAAAAATCTCTATCAAACAAAGCTACGGCTGCTTCCATTACCACCGCGGCAGAGCTGCAAAAAAAAAAATCCACTAGCCCTGATTAGTCAGCTGACAGGTCCTTCCCTGCTGCTCATTGTGATTCAGAGTTGACACAGTCCCCCCAACTACTTAGCCTGATTGAGCCTTGTGGATTAGCTTGTGCTGGACTATTCAAGAAGATCAGGCAGGTCCTAATAGTGGAGGGAGAGAGAAAAAAAAAAAAAAAAACGCTCTCCTCCTCAGGAACAGTCCGGATGGGACTGGCTTGCCTCTGCGTAGTTAGATTTTTTAAGGTGGAATGCTAAGATTCTTTGTGAAGGTAGTACTCACTGATACCTTGTCCTCTTGTCCTGCACTGCTCTGAGACTTAAACTTCAATTCTATATTGTATTACTACATTCTATTCTGGGCTTAAGGGTTGAGAAGTGTTACAGTTTATGAAGCTGTATCCTGATAATCTTGAAAGAAGAGAATATGCACGCAAACTTTTTAAGATGGAGAAGATTCTCCCTGAAAATTAACCTTCCCACAAATAACTAAAGAGAGCATTTTGAATGTTTTTACCACAAAGAAATGATAAATGTTTGATGTGATAGACATGTCACTACACTATGTGTGTGTGTGTGTGTGTGTGTGTGTGTGTGTGTGTGTGTGTGTGTGAAAGCATCACGTTTTACCCCATTAATATATACAAGTTTTCCTTTTGTTTTTTAAGACAAGGTTTCTGTGTGTAGCCCTGTCTGTCCTGGAACTCATTCTATAAACTAGACTGGCCACGAACTCAGAGATCTGCCTGCCTCTGTCTCCCAAATTCTGGGTGTAAAGGCTTGAACCACCAGGTCTGGCCACAATTATTCTAATATTTCTTTTATCCTAGGCATATATGTGTGAGCCTGAGTATATGTCTATGTGCCAATGCAGGCAAGAGCCCACAGAGGTTAGGAGAGAGGTCAAATCCCCTGGAACTGGAGTTTCTGATGGTTGTGAACCACCATGCAGATGCTGAGAAGTGAACCTGGGTCCTCTCTGCAAGAGCAGCAAGTGCTCGTAATTGTTGAGCCATCTCTCCAGTCCCATATGTACAATTATCATAGGTCAACCAGCAATAATTTCAAATTCTTCTCTCATTAATTATGAAGCCTAACCCACCTTCTTTCATTTATTTTGGAAGCTGTATGTTTTTCTATTTTATTTTCTATATCTACTATTTTATTTTTAGTAATAAAAGGAGTAAAAAAAATCAATGAACTAAGCGATCTGGCTTAGTATTGAACATTGTCTCATCTAAAATACACCATTCCCAAACAGAAAATCTTACGTTTCTCCTATATACTTAGCACACTATCATGGGTAGACAATATGTTAACACATAGACAATTATGATTAGTGATATGAGAAAAATGAGATTATATTTCAGGCATTGGAAGCTGTAAGTTAAGGTCTTCACACTGAACTTTACAGTTATCTCACTGAGGGGGCTGGAGAGATGGCTCAGCAGTTAAGAGCATTGCCTGCTCTTCCAAAGGTCCTGAGTTCAATTCCCAGCAACCACATGGTGGCTCACAACCATCTGTAATGGGGTCTGGCGCTCTCCTCTGGCCTGCAGGCATACATGTACACAGACAGTTATCTCACTGAAAGTAATAGACCACATGGGGATATAAGGCAGTGGTAATACACATGCAGCCCTAGGTTCTCTCCCCAGGACCAGAAGAAAAATGGCAAATGTTAGCGTAATAGACCACAAAAAACACTAACTTCTCTCCTGAGGACCCATGTATATGAATACCAGCACCCATGTCCGGTGATCCACAACTACTTATAACTCCAGTTCCAAGGGATCCAACATCTTTTGGACTACTTGGGCACCAATACTCACATATTCACATACATACATACATAATTAAAAATGAAATATATCTTTAGAAAGAAAGAAGATAAAATATTAAAAATAAACATCTACCAAACTGCATCTCCAGAGCAATTTTGTTTTGTGTGTGGTGATTTGAATGAGAATGCCCCCCCCCCATAGACTCATAGGCTCTTTATTTGGACACTTGATCCTCCGTTGGTGGCATTGTATAGGGATATTCAATAGGTATGGCCTTCTTGGAGGAAGAATGTCACTGGAGGTGGACTTTGAGAGTTTAAAGACTCATCATTTCCAACTGCTTTCTCCTTTTCTTTTTGCTTTTTTTGGGTGGGGGAGGTTGAGACAGGATTTCTCTGTATAACATCCCTAGCTGTCCTGGAACTAGCTCTGTAGACCAGGCTGGCCTCGAACTCACAGAGATCCGTCAGCCTCTGCCTCTTGCCTCCCAAGTGCTGGTTATTAAAGGCGTGCACCACCACCGCCCAGCAAGAGTTTAAAGACTCATTTCCAACTGCTCTCTCCTCTCCATGCTTGCAGCTCAGGATGCGAGTTCTCAGCATCTGCTTCCTGCCACCATGCCTGCCACGTGCTGTCAGGATTCCCTGTCATACTCTTATCCTTCTGAAACCATAAACCCAAATAAACTTTGTTTTACAAGTTGCTATGGTTGAAGTGTCTTATTACAGCAACAACAACAAAAATAACTAATACAGTGAGTATAAGTGTGTGTGTGTGTGTGTGTGTGTGTGTGTGTGTGTGTGTGTGTGTGTTCGTATACCCATGTGCATGCACAGAAACCAAAAGCTGTTCAGTCTCCTGTTCTGTCACTCTTGCCTTTCTCCATCAAGACAGATTCTGTCACAGGGCCTGGAACTAGGCTACCCGCCAGCAAGTCTCACTGATTGTCCTGTTTCCACAACTTTTTACATGGGTCTCTTAATCAAGAAAAAGGAGTATCAATCATACTTAGAACTATGAATGCTTTAGAGCAGAAAAATGCACTCATGAAGGCCTTTCTGTAGTTACTGTTTGAGACATGGTCTCATATAGCCCAGACTGGTTTTAAATTCACTATATAACTGAATATGACCTTGAACTGTCTATCCTCCTGCCTCTGCCTCCTGAGTAGAAGGATTACAAGCATGTACCACCATACCCGATTCATGTAGTGCTGGGGATGGAACCCAGTGCTTTGTAGGCAAACACTCTACCGACAGAGCTACAGTCAGTATTGTTATTTTATTTTAGTACTTTGTTTGACTTTTAGGCTCTCTTCACTGTGTGATGGTTAGTGCTAAGTGTTAACTTGACAAAATTCTAAAATCACCTGGGAGATGGGCCTCTGGGAGATGTCTGTGGGGGATTATCTTAATTGTGTTCACTGAGGCAGGAAGACCTGCCCACTATGGGTGGCACCATTCGCAAGGCACGACAACCTGGATTATGTGACAGTGGAGAAAGTGAGCTGTGCACTAGCATGTACACACTCATTTCTCTGTTCTTCTGGCTAAGAATATATTGTGATCAGCTGCTTCATGTTCCTGCCACTATTACTTCTCTGCTCTGGTAGACTACCGCCCAGAGTCATGAGCCCTTCTGCTTTCAGAAAGTTTTATATTAGCAAAAGTAAAAGTAAAAGAAATTAGGATGTACTATTTATGATTAAATACCTGTTATAAACAAATAAAAGAAAACCCCTACTAAATGGCCCCCAAATAAGGAATAACTCATGATGGATATGAAATGGATGATCTTATTCACTTTGCTACTATATCTGGCTCTAAGTGTTAGTATGCTTTTATGTTTGTCAACAAACAACATAGCAAAACAGTAATGACTCAGAACTTCAACAACCTCAATATTTGTCATGCCTTTGTAAGTAAATAGACTTCTTCTGGTGGAAGTAGCCTCTGAGTCAGTCAGGAGACAGAGAACTTCAGGCCACAGGAGCTGACAAGAGATAACAAATATACTACTAATAATATACTAATATACTAGATTTTTGCCAGAAATAAACAATAAATATTTGAGAAGAAAAAAAAATGGAAGGGCTTATCTCTGGGTGCTTAGAATACCAACTGAACTACTGCTTGAAATTTTTTCTTCACAATTTTCTATGTGGCATAGGTATACAACATAGATACCTCCATTTTCCAAAAGGTCCCATAAAATATATGCCTTCCTCTGGAAGTCATACAGAACCACAAGTCTTTGCTCACTTATAATTTGAACCATCAATTCCTCATTCTTCCCACTAGGACTTATAGTGGGGTCTCAAGTTCTTCACTGAGACCTGTCAAGTTCTTTACTTCAGACCACAAAGCCTTCCTACTTTCCCTTCTCACTATATCAATATCAACATTTATTGTCTCCATCAATATCAAAATAATCCATATTTTCAAAAGGCAATGTATAACTAAAGAAGAAATTTCTGTAGAGTACTTACTGAGATTTTCTGGAGGGAAATTTTGAGGGAAGACCATGTATCCAGTCTGCGATCCAGAATAATAGTAAATCGGGAGTCAGATCCATTTTGTCTACAAGATAAGAAATAATAATTTTTGTCAGTAAGAACTCTTATTTATTATATGTGTCTTTATTTATGACTATTTTTCAGTTAATGTTTACTTGAAGAAAAGTTTAGCTTTGGAAGTGCTATCTCAGCCAAGAAGTAGTGTTATATGCCTTTAATCCCAGCACTCAGGGAGGCTGAGTCAGGTGAATCTCTGTGAATTTGAGGTCAGCTTGGTCTACAGAGTGAATTCCAGGAGAGCTAGATTTCAAATTAAACCCCAAAAAGCACTCTTTAAAAATTATTTTAAATCTATATTCCCCTATATTTAAACTTTCTTTTTCAGTACTAACTTCAGTCTTTTAAATAGAAAAATGAGGTGGCTGGAGAGGTGGCTCAGAGGTTAAGAGTACTTGCTCCTCTTACAGAGGTCCTGAGTTTGACTTCCAGTACCTACATGGTGACTCCCAATACCCTGTAACTCTGAGTCCAAGGAACCCATTGTCCTTTCCTGGCTTCCACAGGCACACACACAGACATGGCGTTCACTCACACAAAAACACATGCATACATATGAAAATGAAATAGGAAAAGGTTATATCATAAAAATGGATTAGGAAAATTAATTTAGAATCTTGAAATATTGGTGGGAAGAAAACTGAACACCCTCTGCCTTTCATTACATCAAGCTTAACTTCACACAGTAATCTATCAATGATCTTTTTGTTCACT